CCTGAAGACAAACTTGTGTCTCAAAGTCCTGAAGACAAACTTGTGTCTCAAAGTCCTGAAGACAAACTTGTGTCTCAAAGTCCCTGAAGACAAACTTGTGTCTTAAAGTCCTGAAGACAAACTTGTGTCTCAAAGTCCCTGAAGACAAACTTGTGTCTTAAAGTCCTGAAGACAAACTTGTGTCTCAAAGTCCTGAAGACAAACTTGTGTCTTAAAGTCCTGAAGACAAACTTGTGTCTTAAAGACAAACGTCTCCAAACCACAAAACAACAGGATCATTTAACACAAGTATCAAACTCAGCTCAGTAACAACTGTTGTCCTCTAAACAACTGTTTAGAGGACAAGGAACTCAAAGACAAAGGTTACTCTCAGTGTTGGAAAATGATTATAATCAGATTACAGATACTGATACTATTATGTAGCCGGTGCATTAAATTAGAGCAGTGAACAGACACTTTCACCCGAACTTCTTTGTAGGTGTCCATTATCAGTTTTAAGCGGACACCCTACAGCCAATCAGAATTGAGTATTCACCCTGACCAGGGGTCGACAACCTTAACTATCAAAAGAGCCATTTTTTACTAAAAATAATTAAAGAAAGACTGCCTGGAGACACACACCATATTTGAGTGTTATGGTAACACTGCATATTAAGTCTGAATTAGCCTATGGCCATTAAAAATAGGTCTGAATGAAAATTAAGAAATATGTTTTACCACTAGGAGGCTCCTCTGTAGTGGGTACTTATGATTATTTGGTACTCTAACTTTACAGCGTTGGTGGTGAAAGCAAACAAATCTGTCCACTCAATACTGATATTCTGTATTTTACTCTGAGACTCTCATTTTATGGATTTGGAATCCATTGCTAGTCTAGTTAGCGAGGCTCAAGACCAGACTGAGGTTTGGTGAAATTTAGAGGAAAAGGTGCCAGGTCCGAGACGTTTGACACACATTTTAGTTGTCGAAATATTAAAACTTTTTTTTTTAATTTCAGTGCATAAGCTACACATTTTTAGAATTGATAAAAAATAAATAAAAATGAAAATGCTGGGGCGTTGGTAGTGTAGTGGATAGTCCCGGCGCCCCATATGCAGACGCATTGCCTCGCCAACACGAGTCCGGCCTGCGACCCTTTGCTGCATGTCAGTCCCCTCTCTCTCTCTCTCTCTCTCTCTCTCTCTCTCTCCCCCCATTTCACACACTGTCCTATCCATTAAAGGCAAAACGCCCACAAAGAGAGTGCTCCTCCTTCATCAGAGGTGCTGAATCTGTGTTTTGCTTTCTATAAGTTGGCCTTTTTTATAATATTTAATGTGAGAGTCTTATCTAAATGTGAAGTGCTTTGTGACTGTGTGTTCAAAAATGTGATACATAAATAAAGTTATTATTATTTATATTTAGTGAATCTGCACAGGCGTGGATGTAAACTGCAACAACTGGACTGCTTTGCGGAGATGCAAAGAAGTAAAAATGTTTATTTGACGAGGTGAAACCGTGCTGATCTTTTCTCTGGCGTCCTTCTCTTCACAGATCGTCTTCAGGAAGATCAGTGATGTGAAACGTGAGGAGGAGGAGATGTTGAAGAGAAAGAACGAGGCTCCTTTAAACCTCCCTCCGGATCACCCGGTCAGACGGCTCTTCCAGCGTTTTCGGCAGCAGAGGGAGGCAAGGCTCGCCATGGAGCGGGCCGAACAGGGCGCCCGTGACGTGGAGAAAGGTGTCATTCGCCTGGAGCCAGCCAGGGGTCCAGAGGTCCTGGCCTCCACCAGTATAGTCATGGTGACGGAGAGCCCAGCCACACCCACCACCTCCTCAACATCCATCGCGCCCTCTTCATCCAGGACCTCAAGCCGAGTTATGCTCCACACTCCCGCCACCCAAAATGGAAACCTGGTTGGCTGCAAATCTGCAGAGCCGCCGAAAGCTAAAGGCTGGGGACGATTCAAGGAATCTGTCGTGAAAGCCGAGTCGTGGAGCAGCGTCTCTAAGGCCGAATCCATGGAGACGCTGCCCGATAGAACTAAGTCTCAGGATGAGATGTCCCTCAAGAAAACCGACTCCTGTGACAGCGGCATCACAAAGAGCGACCTCCGGTTGGACAGTGTCGGCGAAGCGAGAACACCACAGGAGCAAAGCCCGGTCCAGTCTGACGAGAAGAGGGTCTTCTGTCCAATTCCAGAGCAGAGCATGCAAGCCTCCTTCCTGGAGCTGAAACAGGAGTTAAGAGGAGACATCAGATCTCTGAACAGTCGCATGGCGGCGCTTGAGACTCAGCTGGCTGAGATGCTGCGACTCCTCAAATCCAGAAAGTCATCTGGCTCCTTCTTCGAGATCTCGCGGCCTCCTTCCCCTGACTCTGATAAGGACAGCTTCTCCTAAACTGGACACAGAGTCGGTCCACAGGAACTCGACCCTTTTGGCCTCCAGATGTCAGAGAAGACCGTCTGACACAAAAGCACTTTGTTACGTTCATGGCAACGCTCTGTGTCAAGATGTCAAACGGGAAAGAGGATGAAGCTGATTTTTACTTTGATCAGAGACTTTAGAGTCATGACAGTCATGATGGCACCTTTGGTCCTCAGGAGGATTTGGACCTTCTCATGATTTTGGCAATAATAAGAGATGGCTTTAACGTTGTTTCAAACAGGGCTGTGACACTGTGATGAAGGACATTGCGTACTAAGGGTTGGTGATTCAGTGGCTTTGCCCCGGTCTTGTGAGTTCTGGTCCACAAAGTCTGTTTAGCCGTTCCGAACCTTCAGATACTCGATTCAAGAGGACAGATGAATCTCAAACCTCTTAAACCAACAAAATGATGATGGCGTCCATGATGTCACAGATTCCACGTATCATAGGCTGTTTTTTCTGATAGTACTGCATGACATCATATCAAAGCATTGCTCTGTGATTGGTTGTTAAGAGCGTCAATCAAAAGACGGACATTCAGTGTAAGCAGAAGGCTATTGAACTTGTTAAAGGACATTGTGGGCCAGAGTTTCGGTTGATGGTTCAGTTCACCGGGCGTCAGAATGTTCCCACCTTCATGCAGACTAAACACTGTGTGTACAGACTTTGATGTTTGGGATGTTCGTTGGCGTTTTTATATCCAAAATGAATGTGAAAGATTTGATGCAGCTCGGTGACAATGAGGCCCTCAATATGTCTGATGTCTAATTCCTGCACAGAGCTGGACATTTGATTGGTTAGTCTGGATTCTTAGTTTTTATAAATAAAATCGGTGTATGCATGTTTCCATGTTGATTCAGCTCTGATTGGAGGCCGCCAAGTTAACACATCCCAATTCAAACATAAAACGAATCTTACTGCTTCAGTGCAGAAGATCACACATGTTGGATGGTAATATTTCTGATCTCTGAATGCGTCTGAATTCAAGTGGAATATGTTTTTACTCATTGTATGTTCACTCTTTCGTTAAGTTGTTTTTAAAGACATGGTTTACAGTTACACAGTTTATTGCTAAAGCACGGTTACATCATGTTTCATGCAAATTGGGTGGGCTGGGCTAACAGACCTGGCAGGGAGCCGCTACGGTGTGTAAAGCTCAGCAGCCACTGTTTGCTTTAAAGAGGCAACAGATAGGATTCGGGGTATTTTTTAGCTTGGCGCCACCTAGCGTCAGCAGTGTTTCGTTGCACTGTTGTAATGACCAAATTGAGCGTGGGGATCAGAGATAATGAATAAAATGTAGGCTGTAAAGCCACCAGTATACCTCTATGTACATGTAGAATGAGAAGGTGTGTGGACACTCTACTAAATAAATGAGTAAAGAGACCGAGCAACAATTATCAGATTTATCTGAAGAAAAAACAAATAGTAATGCAAATAATTATAGCAGAATGCACAGTACCAGTACAAACAGCTCACAGTAAATGATACCAATATGTACAGTATCAGTACAAACAACAGTAGACACAGTGGAATTATACCAATATGCACATGTAAACAGTCCCCATTCTAGAATAAACGCTACCGTATGGAAACCATGCGGCCGGTTGGAGCTCAAATTGAATGGGAAACAAAGTCCAGTGTTCACTTAGCTGGGCGTAACTTAGCTGGGCGATGTCCGTGGATAGCTGCCTCCGTGAGAAGAGAACAGAAGGAAGGGAGGGGGGTATCACTGTCCGAGGGCTGCCGTAGAATGGCAACCAGGATGTCAGCCGACCAACACTCGCTACCCGCTCCCTGGTTGCGGCGATTTGCGATGCTGGCCAGCTAGGAATGAACTAGCAGCCAGTACAGTACAGTCCTCTCTGGTCTAGCTAACATTTAGCCGTGTTACTTATTGATCCATTAGAAAGAAAGCTAGCTGGACATGGGTTTTGAAGCCTCTTTCCTTTTTGCTCTTCTTTGCCTCCTCACACAGAGGAGCTCCTTTTTTTCTTTTGCTAGGCCGTTTTTCACTTGTTTCCAAACTTTGTCCGTCTGCCATTGTGCTCGTGACTCAACTTTCTCATGTCCAACTCCTCGTAAGGACCAGCTCCAGTCCCTGATTGGCTGAACGACCAGTTTCGCAATACATGACGCGTTTCCTGCCGTAAAGCAGATTTTTTCTGCAAAATTTCGCCCCAGGTGGCAGAAGCTTATTGCAAAGATTGCACAGCCACTAAGTAACCTATGTAAACGCTGATAGTCTGATTTTACTGTGGACACTACCCTGTGCAACCCACATTATTTTCATCATGATATATATTTAGGAAAAGATGCTGTCTGTTGCCTCTTTAAATGATCTCACCATAGTTCTGACCTACCAGAAATTCATCAGTTCATCCAACAAGCAGATCGTCCATTGTTCAAACGTTGTGAACGTTGAAGAACAACTTATCTGAAAGACAATCGTCCTGACTCAAAAATTGTTTGGGGGTGACCAAACCTGGAGCTAAAACTGAAGAAGAAGAAGAAGAAGAAGAAGAGGAATCCACACAGTATCTGTTTCTTAAAGTCAAGGAAGGATCCTTAAACGATCATTTCATGGACGCTACGCCATCAAATCATTGCCCTGTTCTGATGTCAAAGGTCTGTCAAATTTTCTTAATTCGGAAAATTTTCAGGGATGCCTGTTTGTATCCTCGGCACTCTTAAAGCACCCACAATCCCATGTGAAGGATGCATGGGTCCTGTTCCCTAACTTGGAAAATTTGCCAGTGAACTTTCAGCAAAATCTGCTTCTGAACAAATTTTATGGGAGAAATGGGCAATCCAGTTGCTGAATCTTGACTCGTGTTGGATCTACAGGGCCTGTTTTAAAAGTTTGTTCTGACTTCCATGAGGCGAGGACACTGACACATGGTCTTAGCAGTGCTTGTCTTTTAAAAATAATGCGAGACGAGAGCAAAGTGACGGCATCCCCAATGATGCTATATGCATTTGAATGTTTGAATTTTGTAAATTTGTTATCACCATAAATGTGTTGGATCAAAGTAAAGCAAAACGTGTTTATGCAAGTACAAACTGAGGCGCTGACAGTGCGATCTCCTCCTGCAGACTGACACCAATGCTCCATTTCAACAAGATAGTTGAAGAGCACAGTTGGCAATACCACATAGGTTCCCTCCACTTTTTTAAAATTGTTGCATGGAGTTGAAGGCAGGACCTTTTCAATGGCGCACACATGCACAACTGTTTTATTTTATGTTTTCTAAATGCTTGGAAGCAGTCTGACCAAGGCTCTGTAGGACCCAACCTGAAGGGTGCTGTCCTGTCACGGAAGCATCCTTGACTTTGAGAAGTATCATAAGACACCTTGACAAAGCAGTCAAAGCCGCACCATTAATAAAAATCCTGCAACCTGACTGCACCTCTGCTCAACCCCCCAGGCTCCAGTCCCTCACATGAAGCTGGTTCTCCATTCTTGAATTGGACGTCTCTTTGACTGGATGGTGTAAACATTCAATCACTGCCAGGTTAGGAAACATGTTAGCATGCTCCTTCCACCACCATCACACCTCCACAGGATCCTCCTTGGGTGTCTTGAACTCCATGTAGGCTGCCACCTCATCCTCGGGCTGCAAAATGTCATGGCTGGAGTCCTCCACGTCGGTGACCAATGTGACCACAGGTCAAAGGTTACACTGGTGTCACTGACTTTCAAAATAAAAGCAACTGCAGCTTGATAATAGTGATTTAGATGTTAGAATATTACACATATACTACACAGCTTTTTACTGCATTTTATTCTGAAAAAAAAGCCCGCCTGCATGGAGTTCATCTTTACCATGAATTTATATAAATACTTACTTTTACTCGTTACACAGCGTTTTGCTGGTTACCCGTTGGATACCTGACCCAGTGCAGGACGGTGTCTTGAGACCAGTGTCAGGGGACAGATGACAACATGTTAATGCTAATGTAATCAGAGCCAGTGGATTAGCGTGCTAGCACTAGAGCTAGCTTGGCTACCCTTGTCTTTTACATCGTAGGTGTCCCTGGAGAGTCTTCTGAAGTAGTTGTACTGAATGAGCTCTAGGACTCATCAGTCGCTTTTATTTTGGCAGCTTGAGATGGCAGGAAGATGCAGATGGAGTCAAGTGATTTTTTCTGTCTGATCAGCACAGACTGCCATGTTGGGAAACGACCATCAGTCCAGAACTGTAAGATCATTGTTGAAGCTGGGGAGTTTGTCTGCGTCAGACCTGCGGGATGATTGTAAAGCAGTCAAACGTGCGGAACACTGGAATCACAGAACAGTTACAGCGATGACTAACAGGATGTGATGCGAAGGAGCCAGCGCACATCAGATTGTTCCAGTGTTTCCCAGTGATCAACCTGCACCATGTGTCAGCGAACAGGCGAAACAACATTCAACATGTGAAGCATCACGCACCTGTTTTCAGAGCAGCAGCGAGCTGTTGCTGAGGCTCCATCAGGACTCGACAGGCTCCCTGAATGTTGCTGTCGCTTGTAGTTTATATGGACAGTTTTTTTACACCTAATTCGCAAGAGTTGACTCGTTTAGTCTGAGGTCACAACACCGAGTAGACTCCCAGGAGAGCTGTGACTGGCTCAGCTGAATCCTTCTGTTTTCTACATGGCTTGTACAGTTCTTCCTTTAGCATTAGCATTAGCCTTAGCCTTAGCTTTTGCTTTAGCATCATCATCTGTGCCTCCATCAAAGTTCCAGCGCAGGAAACTTCAATTACTTTATATGCAACATTTTCTCTTTGAACATGACTGCTGTGACTCGTCTCAACTTCAGTCGGTTTACAGCCAACACGTCTCGTCCGTTATGTTGATTACATGTAATCTGAAGTAGCTTTGGCTAAAGATGGAGAAAGCTATCGTACTGGCTGTGTCACTTCTTTCACCTCCATATATAAAACTTCTCCACCGAGAGATGCAAGCTGTCAGTCATCACACAGGAGTTTATGGTACAAACACGAGGGATTTATTGGCCGCATCTCCACATTTACGTTCCTCTTTACTTCCTCCAAGGCAGCTACGTTTTGGTCATTACAACCTTCGTCAGCCTGACGAAGGTTGTAATGACCAAAACGTAGCTGCCTTGTCCCATAAAATATTTTGCAAGTTTGGCAACAGTGTGCGGGAATCTTTTTTCTTCTTTGAATGCAGATTTTAGGCGAAGCAGATTGATCATACAGAGCACATTTTGGTCTTTATTATAAAACATTTTGCAGTTTTAAGTTGAGTATCATCTGCAAACATGATAACAGACTGAAAGAAACCTTATCAAACTGTCGTAGGGGATCAGGGGAAATGTAACCCATCACATCATCAGTTGAGAAGAAAGAAGCTGTACGTTCGTCCTGACTTTGGTATCTTGTGTATCCTGTGTAGGTGTGATTATAATATAGCATCATAATATGCAATTAATGCCATTTATGCTGTTTGTACTGAGAGACTGGTTGTTGTTTGTGGCACTCTGTGTCGTCACGCTGTCCCATGAGCACCGCCAGTATCGGCACTGATGCACTTTGGTCGTCTCTGCATGACGCTGGTGTCTGAAACTTGTTATTTTATTTTTTAAACAAAGACTGAAGCCGAGCTGACTTTGCCTTGCTACTTAAATATCTCGGAGGACTCAGAGGTTTCCTTCTCTCTAAACTTTAATACCTTCTGCTGTCGGTCACATGTATGTAACGACCGCCGTCTGTGCATGAAGAGCACCTCACTGTTAAAAAGGTACAACGTCTTTATCAATGTCACATATGTGCTGTTCTGGGAATTTCACAGCTTTGAGGGAATGCTTGAGAAACTAACCACAGATAAACTATACGTTCTGTCTTATTGTCAGGAATGAAAACTGTATCAGCACAAAGGATTTCTTAGAAAATCACATCAAATGTCGACAATAAACGATTTCTTACTTTGTACTTTGTGTATCTGTTTGTTCTTCTGTTCGTCTGTTAAACGTTCTGACTGCTCATTTAACCATCAGTCTGCTTTAAAGCAACTAATGAACCAACAACCTAAACAACAACACAGATCGTCTGGGTGTTTTCTGATCTGTCCTTTCTGTGAGTTCAGTTTGGCAGTGAAATGTTCTTAATTAGGTTCAGGGACAGATCACGCTCATGTTTCAAAAGAACCGACTTGGCAAAGTTAAAATGACACCTGCTGTTGGTGGAGACAGGATGTGGTGTTTGACGCCAAAGACGGACACTTTGTACCTCCAACCACCAGGTTTTCTTAACGTTTTGTTATTTCCATGGAAAACAGACACTGTGAATATGACGCACAGTCTAACAGGACTGCAGCC